TCGCGCTGATTGCTATGGGGGAGCCGCTTGGCGCCAAGATGGCGACGCGGGCGCTGGAGCACCTGCTGCAGTATGGGGAGCCCATCGTCAGGTGGGTGCTGTGCCATACATTCCGGGTCCCACTGGTGGGCGCTCCGCCACGGGTGCTGTGCTCTGAACTACTTCGTTGATGCCGCAGGCGGCGCCTCGTCGCCTTCCAGCACTGCGTCACCACACTTCCTCAACTGTGCATGCTCGCTGCCCTGCTCCTGAGCTAAAAGCCTGGGCTGCCCGTCTGTGACTCAGCAAACCCGCCTCCCCCACGTTCACATCCCCACGCGAGACAGGCGTGCTGTGCCGCTGGCCATCTCCCTGCTGTCGCCCTCGGATCCGGATGCGTCGCTCATCGACACCCTCAGCCGCCTGAGCCACGACGCCGACACAGAGGTGCGCCGGCCGGTTTGGGGCCGGCGTCGCGTTCGGCTTCCGGACTCCCACCCTTCCAGCCACCAAGGTCCAGTGCCGTTGCTGTATCTGCTGGCTTGGCTGGCATCTAGACTACTCTACAAACCCGTCCGCCGACCCCCCTCGCGGCTCATGCGACCTTCCAAATCCCACCCCCTCCCCAGGTGGCTCAGAACGCGGTGGTGGCGCTGGGCATCGTGGGCGCGGGCACCAACAACGCGCGGCTGGCGGGCATCCTGCGCAACCTGAGCTCCTACTACTACAAGGAGCCCACGCTGCTGTACCTGGTGGGGCGGGCTCGGCTGGGCCTGGGTGGACGACGACCCCAGGGGGCTAGAGGCGGGGGGAAATCGGCGAGGGAGCGCGCGGCGGCACCTAGTGGGCGAGCCGGCTGGGCTTGGGCCAATGGCAGCCCTGGGGGCGGGCCGGGCCGGGCCCGGGCGTCCGGCAAGCCACCAGGGGACCGGGGGACGGCAGAGGGAGTGGGCGCATTCCTGTACCTGGTGGGGCGGGCCGTGCTTGGCCCGGGTCTCAGGCAGCCCCAAAAAGGGGCAGGTGCGGCGGAGGGAGGGGGTCGCGATGCTAGCGCTACCTCCACTGGGAGGGTTTGAGTGCCGCAGCCGATTGTCTAGCTCCATTCGACCGACGCCCGCTCTGTGTCGCGCACCCCTTGTGCCGCTCAGGTCCGCACGGCCCAGGGGCTGGTGCACATGGGCAAGGGGCTGCTGGGGCTGAGCCCCTACCACACTGAGAGGCAGCTGCTGTCAGGTGAGCGCGGCCGCACACTTGCGCAAGCCCGTGTGTATGCACGCGTCGTTGGATGAGGCCCGGGCATGTTGCGCTCGTTGGTCGGTTCGGCGCTGAGCAGTGTTTCATAATGCGCACCAGTCCTGAACAGCGACATGTCCCGTGTTTTGGTTGACCCTACATGTCTTGGTGTCATCACCGGGCACCATTTTACTTGCCTTGGCCCGCACCCCTTCACCACAGGCGTGGCACTGGCGGGCCTGCTGGCCGTGGTGTTCAGCTGCGAGGACGCCAAGCAGACGCTGGTGGGTGCATTCCTGGGCGCATGGTGTGCGTGATTGTGGCTGTGCATGATTGCGTGTGTGTGTGTGTGTGTGTGTGTGTGTGTGTGTCTGCGCGCGCGCGCCATTTTCCAAGGCTGGACCTGTTCTGTGAAGGTCGGCTTTTGGGGTATCAAAGGAATACTTGGCATGTGCCGTCCGGGCTTGCAACCTGTCATTGAACCCCAACCACCCCCTCAGGCTGGCAAGTACCCCCACCTGTTCTACTGCCTGGCGGCCGCCATGAAGCCGCGCATGCTGCTCTCATTGGATGAGGAGGGGGCCCTGCTGCCGGCGCAGGTGGGGTTTGGCAAGCTGCGCCAAAGCTTCTTTCGAAATGCCACACTCCAAGGCCATTTCAAGTCCCGTGGTGCCCCCCGCCACGCGCCTCGCTGGCTCGTGTGCCCCCGCTGTTCCACGCCGTGAGATGGCTCGCCTTTCACCCTGCCTCACGCCCTCCCCTTCCCATGCTCCTCCAACGCTCCCCCCTCCCCCCACACGCACACACGCACAAAATTTGCCAGGTTCGCGTGGGCCAGGCTGTGGACGTCGTGGCGCAGGCGGGGCGGCCCAAGACAATCACAGGCTTCCAGGTGAGTAGACTCCCACTATGTTCCTTGGGGGGTGGGATGTGAGGGGGAGCTGTTGGTGAAGGCCAGTCTGAAGGTTGTTTTATGCACTGTGGCTTGATGCACTGTGGCCAGGTGCATATGGCTATTTGCTGCCCCAGGATACACAGTGTCCTCCTCTCCCTGGGCCCTGCAATCATGGTTGCGGAGCCTTCGCTCTGAGCAGCCTTTGCAGACACGACCGCAATGCCTCTTGTGGCGCGGGGTCCGCTAGGCTATGCATGTGCGGCCTGCCGTGCCGCTGCTCCAGCCCGGTCAAGCTGTCTTGATCTCGGGGCTAATTTCTGTGACAAATTCCGCCTCCCCGCCGCCGCCCCGCAGACGCACACCACTCCTGTGCTGATGAACGCCGGGGAGCGCGCTGAGCTGGCCACGGAGCAGTACGTCCCGCTGTCGCCGCTGCTGGAGGGCGTGGTCATCCTTAGAAAGAACCCCGATTACATGGACGTCGCCGAGTGAAGGCGGCCGCCTGCTGCCAGGGTGACAGGTTTTGGCTGCTGCTGCGAGTGATGGACATGCGGCGCAGCGCCGCGGCAGTGCCCCATGCATCGGTAATTTCCAAGTCGAGGCGCCGTGACGCAACATATTCTGATCAGCATGCAGGACACATTGAAGGGTTGGATGTGAGCGGCTGTGTGAACAAGCCAAAAGCATTTTCTGTCTGCCGAAGCCACTTGGCTCCATGGTGATGTGCGTGGGCTGGCAGGGCTTGGGCTGTCGAGCGCCAAGGGCTGCAAGGTCATGGCCGATGCCATGCCCGGCAGCACATAAATTATTTGGGGGGCAATTTTTTGCATGTCATTGTTAACGACACACAGAGGGAGACAGAGACAGAAAGACTGAGCAAGCTGGTAAGCCTGCAAATGTTCAGGAAGAAAGGGAGGGCTGGCTTGCGGGGCCCGCCTACAGATGGTCGCCATTGTGCCATCCCGCACTGTGCGTCAATCAACTGGGCAGTGCAGGTGGGCAAGTTGCACCCCCCGGGCGTGTTGTTGGAGGTATCGTATGTTGAGGTCATGACAGGTTGTTCATGATGCGTTGCCAAGCTTGGGTCAATGACTGGAGCCCGGGGGGGTCTAGGCACAAGGTAAAGGGCTTGTTAACAACACCGGATTGCTCAACAGCAAGGCGGTTTCACCTTCATAGCATGTCCGCTGAGGATTGCGTGGGCGCTGTATAGGTGCTGTATGGGTGCCGTATGCGCGTTGAATCGGCGTTGTATGGGTG